CCGATGCATCGGCGATACATCGTCGATGGACGGCGTTTGCGATGCATCGGCCGCACCAGCGTGGAGAACATCGGGCTCCACATCGAGCCGCAGCGCCGACACATCAGCGACGCTCCGAACCCGTCTGCTCCGACCCCATCTGGGAAGACGGGCACAGAGCACAGAAAAACGCCTTGACACGACACGCCGAAGCCAACGCGCGTGGGGAAACCAAAAGGTACCGATCCCTGGGCTTCTCCCGGGGTGCGTTCTGACCAGGATTTCGAATACAGCGGTGGCCGCCGAGGAGGCTCGAGAAGCGGAAAACGGTAGAAGGGTAGAGGTATGGGTACCTTTTCCTCCACGGAGCTCGCTGCGAGCGGTGGGCGCCAGGGACAACGAGCGGTACACTGGCAGAAGGAGGAAGGCGCAGCGGCCTGAACCCCCGCCCCGGAAGCAGTTCAGCAGGCGCTTGAAGTACCTCGGGGGCGGGAGGTCGCGTCGACAAGAAATCAACGCGGAGATCACCAAGGCACGAAGACACTGCCACTTCTCCCCAACCTCTCCCAGGGTGCGTTCTGATCAGGATTTGGAGGTGAATCCTGTGGTGGCGACGAGGGCCTCCATGGAGGCAAAACAAGGCGAAAACGAGGGAAGGAAAGCGGGTACAGCCAGAGCTCGACCACACGAAACCTCCCACAAGAAGCCCAACCCCCTGAGACCCCAAGACGTCCCTTGATCTTGCGGCGTGGGCACGTCACGCTGTCCATCGCAAACCTCCGAAACCCGAGACACGCAGGGCACCCTGGAAGCAAACAGGGTGCTTCTTGGCAGGGGTCCGCACTGTGCACCCAAAACCGACCGTCGTGTTCTTGTCCCCACACCAGGGGGGGGGGTAGGTCGGGCATGTCCCCCTGCAGGGGGATTTTGGACGACGAATGAAAAATACCCAGAACGTAAACCAAACAATGCACAGAAAATGCCCAGAAATACATAGAAAATGACAAAGAATTAAAACAAATGCTCAAATCATCGTCCCCTGACTACTTTATTTTATTATTTTTCGAATGTACCCCCTAGAGAGGGACAGGCCCGACTTAGGGATGGGGGGAGCGCGCGCCGGAGGCGCTTTTTGCCCAGGGCAGCTAGCGTGCGCGCAGCCGACAGGTACGCGCTGCCATGCCCAGCAGGGATGGGCCTGTTTTCCACCACCACTATAAGTTGGAGGGAGGGAGGAGGAGGAGGAGGAGGAGGAGGAGGAGGCGGAGGAGGAGGAGGAGGAGGAGGAGGAGGAGGAGGAAGAGGGAGGAGGAGGAGGAGGAGGAGGAGGAGGAGGAGGAGGAGGAGGAGGAGCCCCTCCCCCTCCCACTTGTGGTGGTGGTGGTGGTGGTGGTGGTGGTGGTGGTGGTGGTGGTGGTGGTGGTGGTGGTGGTGGATCACAGGCCCACCACAGCAGGGAGGGTCGTGCTCTGGCCTCCTCTGGGTCCGGTTGAGTTGACTTGGTGCACTGCCGTTCGGTCGGGCATGCCCTCCCACAGGCGGGTCATCGAGGAAAAATTAGAAAAAATAAGCAAACACATGTGCAAGACGATGGCCAAACAATGATCGAAACCGCGCCTCCAGGCGGTTCTTCCGCCATTTCGCTTCAACGCTCCCCCTGTCTGGCCATCGCTCGGACGTCCATTCCCTGTGTTTTTGTTCGGCTTCGTGCGTGGCTTTTTCGCCCAATCATCAAGGATGCTCCTCGATGGTTAAAACAAGGCTAGGATCGGGAGAAATCGCTCCAGAGCGTTCCGGAGCGCTCTCAGAGCGTTCCGGAACGCTCTGGAGCGGCCGCGGCGCCCAATACCTTCCCCAAACCCGCCGATTCTCAGAGATTTCGAGTTATTCCGATCCGATGTTGTCCCGATCTTCGCGTCGTTTTGATGGTCCTCGCCGAGGGAAAACTCTAGGGCTCCCAACTTCGCGCTTCGCGCTGCGCGAAGCGCGAAGCGCGAGTAACTTCGCGCTCTCGCGCCGCCCCCCCAAAGGGAGAAGAGGAGGACGAGGAGGAGGGGGAGAAGGAACGAGGACCGCGAAGCGCGAAGCGCGAATAACTTCGCGCCCTCGAGGGAGCCCGTGTATCCCGATCCGATGTTGTCCCGATCTTCGCGTCGTTTTGATGGTCCTCGCCGAGGGAAAGCTGCACACGTCCGAGCGATGCCGAGCTGCAGGGGGGACAATGCCCGGCTCCAAACCTGCTGACTACCTACCAGACCACCCCAACCCAACCCGAAGACCCGAATTTCGGGTTGGGGGGGGTACGGGTCCCATATGTGTTTTTTCGACGTTTCCCGACCCCCCCCCCACTGGAAATGGAGGGCAAATTGAGGCCTTCGGGTTGGGTTGGGGTGGTTTGGTGGGTGGTGAAAAACTGCACACGTCCGAGCGGTGCCGAGCTGCACGGGGGGGACCGTGCCCGGCTCCAAGCACCTGCCGCCCGCGGCGAGCAGAGAGGCAGCCGCCCTCCACGCGAGCCGAGCCTCGCCCCGCCCCGACGCGGGGGGGGGGGGCTCGCGAGGGCCTCCGCCGCTCGGCCTCTCGCCTCGGAGGCTGATGAGGAGGGGGGAGGCGGAGGAGGAGGAGGAGAAGGAGGAGGGGGAGGAGCAGGAGGAGGAGGAGGAGGAGAAGGAAGAGCAGGAGTAGGAGGAGGAGGAGGAGGAGGAGGCGGAGGAGGAGGAGGAGAGAGGAGGAGGAGAAGGAGGAGGGGGAGGAGCAGGAGGAGGAGGAGGAGGAGAAGGAAGAGCAGGAGTAGGAGGAGGAGGAGGAGGAGGAGGAGGAGAAGGAGGAGGAGGAGGAGGAGGAGGAGGAGGCGGCCTCGGGGATGGGCAGGACCCCCCCTACAGTCGGGGCCTTGACCTCAGGAGTCCAACATAAGGGAAGGGACGAGGCCCCTTTTTTTTCCACAAGTCAAGCGAGGCCCCGACGGGGGGGGGGTGCTCGCGAGGGCCTCCGCCGCTCGGCCTCTCGCCTCGGGGATGGGCAGGGACCCCCCTCTCTGCAGTCGGGGCCTTGACCTCAGGAGCCCAACAATAAGGGAAGGAGCGAGGCCCCTTTTTTTTCCATAAGTCAAACGAGGCCCCGACGCGCGGGGGGGGGGTGCTCGCGAGGGCCTCCGCCGCTCGGCCTCTCGCCTCGGGGATGGGCAGGACCCCCTCTCTGCAGTCGGGGCCTTGACCTGAGGAGCCCGAAAATAAGGAGCGAGGCCCCTTTTTTCCACTAGTCAAACTTCGATCTCCGAGCGAAGACATCGGGACAGCCCGAGGCAAGCTGCGAAACACTCAAGGAACGCGGAGCCCCTCCCCAACGAAAAGGGTTCCTTCCTCAGGGCCCCGACTGTAGTGAAACGCGGCTTCGTGGAAATGACCTCGGGCCCGAACCTGGCGGGCGCAACTGGCGGGCGCAAGCCTGGAAAGTGACGGCCGCGGCGCCCTTTCGAGAAACGAACACGGACAATTCACGAGTCGACGTGTCGGGGGGGGTCGGTCCACCCCCGATAGCTCCTGCAGCACCTCTCTGCAGCGCATCCCTCCGCTCGCGGATCTCCCGATGCCTCGCGGGGGGGGAGGGGGAGGTCGGGCGTACATTGGAGGCCCGACCACAAACCTCCCACAAGAAGCCCAGCCCTGAGACCCCGAGGACGTCCATGGATTTTGGGGGTGGCCACGTCACGGTTTGCACGCCCCAGCGGGGCGGGGGTCGTAACGGCCTCGACCGCTCGACCTCTTGCTCCTGCAGCACAGCACTTCTCTGCAGCGCGGTCTCCGCTCGCGGATTGATTTCCCGATCCCTTCAGGGGGGGGGGGGGTCGGGCGTACAGTAATCGTGCTACCAGACCCAGACATGATCGCGTCGCAAAAGTGTCAAGACGAACATGTTCGTCGTTTTCAGCCTCTCGAAGGCCTCGGGCCCTCGGGACCGTCAAAAAACAACTCAGGATGACAAATCAGCCCCGGGGAAAGGGTTGGGGTCTCTGGGGGCGCCGTCCTGAAACAATGCGGACGTCGCATGTCTGTCTGGGAAAGGAACACGGCAGGGCCGCTGCTTTTTCAAAACAAGTTGATTCCGAAACGAAGTCTCTTGAAAATGGGCACAGCAAGAAACGGCGACCGGAAGCTGCAACACGAACGGCTCCAGAATTGAAGCCGGAGCTTGAAACAAAAAAAATGACGGAACTGACATAAAAAAAACAGCAAAACGGAACAGGCACCCAACAAATCGGGAAATCGGAACGGGTAACAAAAACGGCCCTGTCGTTCCCAGGGTTAGGTCGGGCGTGTCCCCCTACAGGCGGATGTTGGACGAAAAATGAAAATACCAACACCAACACCAACACCAACACCAACAACAACAACAACAACAACAACAACAACAACAACAACAACAACAACAACAACAACAACAACAACAACAACAACAACAACAACAACAACACACATACTAAACATGGGAACAATCGTCCCTGTTGTATTTTCCGTCAGTTTTTGAGTGGTCCCCCTGTCGAGGGACAGGCCCGACTTCGCAGTCGTGCTGCCAGCAGGAGCACTGCACGAGGAACGAAGGGGGCCTGGCCGGCCCGAGCCTTGGCCGCGGAGGGGCGCCCCGGCCTGCATATCTGAAGATGACCAATTACTTCAGTCCAGCGCCCAGGGCTGGTATTTGAATTCAAAAACTGTTCTGGATTGCATTCGAATTCAAAAGCCAGTTTCTGAATTCAGAAACCAGGTTCTTGAATCTTAAGGCCAGGTGTTTAATTCAAAAACCAATTCTGAAATTCAAGAACCAATTCTTTGAATTCAACTTCCAGTCTTCCGAGCCCAAACTTGTGATTGTGTCAGCGCGTTGCCTGCAAGGACACACAGACACGCCCATCAGGTCAGAAGGCGGCGGGACGTCTTAGAGGTCCTCGGGTTTTCTCAGAGGTGTTCTGTGTCTTCGGGGGGGTGCTTGGAAAACTTCTCAAAAGGCCAGGGGACTTCCGAGCCCCCAGAGAAGGCCTTCTCCTTCTCACTTCCCCCCCTCGCTCGCCGCCGAACTGTAATCAACACATCTTTGACAAGAGTGAGCGGCTGGCGGCACAGGCACACTGAGTTCAAGGCCGTGACTGCGGTGGTGACCAGGAACAGCGCCACGTGCGGCCACCAGCCCATCGCTCTAGAGAGACTCGCGCGACCTGGCCATTCCGATAATCATTAATCTAAGGGCGAACGTTAGCAGAATGGATGACGACGTGATGGCAGCGTGGGAAGACTCGGGAGCAGCTGAAAGGCGTGCGGGCGCCTTTCGAGGCCAATGCGCCCAGACGAGAGCCCTGGCCAGGCAGCTGTGCTGCGATGCGCCAGTCTGCGATCCGATCTTCTAGCCTTGTCAAGTCGTTCTTGAACTTAGTGCAAGGGGCTCGCTTTGCTACATAAGGGCGTCCACCCAATCCATATTGCCAACTGGCCGTGCTGAAGCAAAGCCTTATGTGTCCACATCCTGACTGCGAACCTGGGAACATAACGCTTCCGGACTCTCTGGGACGCCTTCGGGGCCCCTTAGCCAACGCCTTTCCATCAACGCCGAAATTACGCAAACTAAGCAGCGTGGGGTTCCTGAGTTCTTGAAGCACGCCACGCTTGCCTTACCAGAGACGGGCCAATGTGGGCACAGGAATGCACGACAGTGCTCCGAGATGGTTCCAATACCGAACCAACGAGGCTCACGAGACGGCCCATGTGGGCGCAAAATACTTGCCGGGAGCGGCCCCAGTAGAGCCAGCAAAGGATCCAGGCAAACGCGCAACTCTGAGCGAAAGAATCACAAACGCCCGGGCTGACAGTGTCCGCAAGAGTGCCCGCGCGAGGGGACTCAGCGGTGCGGGTTCGGAGCGCCCGAACGAAAAGGAGCAACTGATGCGTACCGCTGGCCAGGGTCGCTACTATTGGGCTCGCTCACAATTCACAAAAAGTGTTCAACTCATTCCGCAATGGTGTTGCGGCCACGTCGATCCACTCGTCTGACGTGATGCGCTGTAGCATTGCCCGGTAGGGATCCGCGACTGCGCGCGACCCTCTGCCGCACCAGCGCCAGAGGAAGACACACACGTGGGCGCAGCGCACCGCGCCGTGGAGCCACAGCAGTGCTGCGCGTGTGGGGCCAAGCTGCAGCTGAAAGTCGGGCGCCCGATCGTCTGAAGCCGCAGACCCAATAGCCTCACCGGCCCGCCCAAAACTGCAGCCCAAATCGCCAGACGCTCGCCCAGAGCTGCTGCCCAAGCATACTCACCCACCTGCCTGGACAACCAACTGGACATGCCAAATCACCCGCCTGAACCTGGAGTCTAAACTTCACCAGCCACCCGCCGAACATGATGCCTCCCCAGAATTCAGAGGATGGCCCCCTAGAGCTCACTAGGTCAACTACCCTCGCGCATCGCGAACTCGCGCCTCCGCCATGGAGAAGGGCGCCCCTTCAATCAAAGCTATGATACGCGAAGCGCGATCATCTTCGCGCCCCAGAATCGGAGGATGGCTCTCAGAAGGCCTGACTTTGAAAGGCCTCCTGGGCCCAGGTCGTGTTCAGCTGAGGTCTGCCAGAAGACCCCCCACCCCGCCCTCGGCCCCGCCCCCCCCCGCCGCCTCCCCAGTGCCCTCGAGACCACTCCAGCCAAGAGGGCCACGATGCAGCCCAAGAGAGGAGGAGGAGGAGGAGGAGGAGGAGGAGGAGGAGGCGGAGGAGGCGGAGGGGGAGGAGGGGGAGGATGAGGAGGGGGAGGAGGAGGGGCATAAGCAAGGAGGTTCGAGATCTTCAGGCGGTTCGTCGGCTCCAGGCGGTTTCTCAGCCCCAGGTGGCTCTCAGCGAACACAAGACAACCACCGCCTCAAAGACCCGCGTCTGGCAGTCGCGCCGTCCAACGCAGTGCTTCCAAAAGGTGGCTCGCCCTGAACCACAAATATCGCGACATGTGGCCCATGGGAGCCATTGACCGCGCGAGGGACGCTAATCCTGCAAACGAGGTCCACGATCGAGCTGCAACCGAACACCCACCGAAACATAAACGCACGAGCGAACAAGACAAGTCCGAAAGCGCGCGACACCCCCACGAGAGCAGAATGGAAATCCCACCAGCCCTTTGGGCGTGAGTGGTTTAGGGAGCTCTCTCTGTTCTCAACCCCCCTTCTTCCCCTTCGGGGAGGGGTTTACCCCTCCCCCTACCCTCTCCCCTGGACCTGGAGAAGGCGGGCCGAGCGTTCTCAGGGGGGTCCATTTCGACCCCTGGGAGGGCCAAAACAACGACGACCCTCACGAGGATTCTGGCCCCGACGGGGGGGGGGAGTTTGGCCCCTCTGCTCGTCTTTGAAGCAGAAATCATTGATTGTACGAGGGTTTTGGCCCCATGTTGGCCTTCTGAGGGGGCTGCGCTCATCTTCCCTCGTAGCAAAATCATTGATGTTACGAAGGTTTTGGGCTCATTTCGTCCTTCTCAGGGGGCAGCTCTCATTTGCGCTTCTGAGGAGGTCGCAAGAGGCCCCAAGATGGCCCCACGAGGCCCCCAGGAGGCTCCCAAGAGGCCTCCAAGAGGCCCCCCAGAGGCCCCCAAGCGGCCCCAAGAGGCCCCCAAGAGGCCCCCAAGAGGCCCCCAAGAGGCCCCCGAGGCCCAAGAGGCCCCCAAGAGGCCCCCAAGAGGCCCCCAAGAGGCCCCAAGAGGCCCCACGAGGCCCCCCCAAGAGGCCCCCAAGAGGCAAGAGGCCCACGAGGGAGCCCGAACCCGAACGACTCACACCAGGACGAGGGGCCCGAACGACTCACACCACGAAGAGCCCGAACGACTCACACCACAAGGAGGGGCCCGAACGACTCACACCAGGACGAGGCGCCCGAACGACTCACACCACGAGGAGCCCGAAGGACTCACACCACGACGCGGGCCCCGAACGACTCACACCACGAGGAGCCCGAACGAGTCACACCAGGAGGAGGGGCCCGAACGACTCACACCAGGATGAGGGGCCCGAACAACTCACACCACGAGAAGCCCGAACGACTCACACCAGGACGAAGAGCCCGAACGACTCACACCACGAAGAGCCCGAACGACTCACACCAGGAAGAAGGGCCCGAACGACTCACACCAGGACGAGAAACCCCAAACGACTCAAATCACGAGGAGCGCTTTCTCTCCCTCCTCCTCCGCCTCGTCCTTCTCCCGCTCCCCCCACAAGGAGGATGTACAAGGAGGCGGGAGGAAGGAGGAACAGGGGAGATATGCGGGGCCAAGCGGACACACGCCTGAAAAACACGACTGTCGGCATGCTTCGCGAGAGTTGCTGCTGTGAGATGGGCTGGTGGGGATACGCGAAGCGTAAAGAATTTGAGGCGGCAAGGGTGCGTGAGCTGGATGAGCCGAGAGAACTGTAGTCAGGAGGGAGGGATGAGGCCAAATCCGCTCAGAATCGGTTCCAGAACCCCTCCTCTGGCCCATGTGGTTCAAATGTTCACCCTGGATCCGTGTTTGTGAAGGGAAACTGGGACACACAAATAAATACACACACAAATAAACAGATTCCCCATATTTTCCTATATTTTCTGTGTTTTTGTCTTCCCCACCACTTCCCATGTTTTCCCATATTTTCTGGGAAATCGACGATTAATTGTGTCTGTGTGTTTTTTTCCCTCCTGAGTTTGACGGTCCCCAGGGCCCGAGAACGCCCCCGGGAGGCCGAAAAAGGCAAAACCCTTCTCGAACCCAGAACCTCGAACCCCGCCCCCTCCTTCCTGTCGGGGAGACGTAAGACCCGGTTACGGGGGACTCGGAAATCCCCGACGAGGTCGTCAAAAAAATGACGAGGCCGAGCCTGCATTTTGACGAGGCCTCCCGCTGCAGACATCCCACGAAACTCCTCCTCGTCAAAATCCGAGGCGCGGTCGTCAAAAAACGGTGGCGAACCCGAGTCCCGGCAAACCCGGGTCTTACGCTCCCCCGATCCTGGCCGCCAGACTGCATGCTCGGCCACCTCTGGCCCCCAGCCGGCTCCCACATGGAAATGCTCCGAGGAAGGAGTCGGATCCTAGGGCTCCCAACTTCGCGCTTCGCGCTGCGCGAAGCGCGAAGCGCGAATAACTTCGCGCTCTCGCGCCGCCCCCCCAAAGGGAGAATAGGAGGACGAGGAGGAGGGGGAGAAGGAACGAGGACCGCGAAGCGCGAAGCGCGAATAACTTCGCGCCCTCGAGGGAGCCCTTGCGGATCGTGGACGCCAGCGATCGCCTGCGAGACCAAGCCAGACGCTGCCTGAACTCTCGGGCGCCATGTCGTCGTCGCCGCCGCCGTCGTCGTCGTCGCCGTCGCCGTCGTCGCCGTCGCCGTCGTCGTCGTCGCCGTTGTCGTCGTCGTCGTCGTTGTCGTCGCTGCCGCCGCCGTCGTCGTCGTCCCCCTTCAGGGTCGGCGGCCCTGGCCGTAAAGCCGCCGCCACGTTCAGAGGAATGCATCGAATCGTGGAAACGTGCTCGAAAATGTGGGAACCAAACGGTACCGATACCGCTACTCCCCGGACCTTTCTCGGGGTGCGTTTTGACCAGGATTTCGAGGCGCACCCGGCGGTGGCGTCGAGGGCCGCCCAGGAAGCCCAAAAAGGGGGAAACGAGGGAAGGGTAGCGGTATGGGTACCTTTTTCCTCCTCTGAGACCAAGCTGCGGGGAATGCTTTTGTCCATATCCTCTGCAGCTTGGAGACTCGGGCTCCCTTCACCAGACGCCCGAGGTGCACTGGACGCGGGTAACTCTGCCCCCGTAGAGGCTGGACGTCTATCCGCATGCAGTGCGCCTGGGCCGTGTGGCGCCCCTTCCAGGAAAAGACCAGACGCACTGGCTGTGGATACCGTTCTGGCCCCCACAAAGTCAAAAGGCCTGCACTCTCGGGCGCCATGGCGGGCGCGGCCTGCCCCCGGGAGGGGGGGGTCGGGGCATATCCTGCGCGCGCGCGCCGCCCGGGCCGACAAAGGCCCTCAAGGCGCAGGCGGCGATCGCACGGGTAGGCCCAGGGCTCGAGCCAGACAACATGTGCCGCCCTCGTCTTGGCTCGGCAGCGGAGGCCCCCCGGCCTTCTGAGAAATTGTCTGAACCTTCCCCGCAGAGACGAAAAGCCTCTCAGAAGGCGCGAGGGCTTCTGAGAAGTCCCGCCGCCTTCTGAGAAGGCCTTCTCCTCCTCACTCCCCCCCTCGCTCGCGGCCGATTGATGCCGTTTTCCCTCGTTCTGCCTTCGTTCCGCCCTGGTTGCAAAGCGAAGCCAACACGAAAGCGGCCCAGGACGTCGCCCTAACACCGTGTGGCTCGAGCCCTCGGGAGGCCTTGGGAGAGCTGCTGCTGCGTCTCCACGCCGCCGCCGTCGAGCGGACGGGCTTCTGCGGAGCAGCGAGGCGCCGCTGGGGTAGAGAGAGGTCGGGTCGGACGAAGCGGGGGAGCGTGGGGTCAGTCAAAAGGGAGCGTTAGCGAATCAGCTCAAGCAGCTGGTTTTCCCAGCGCCCAAGGGCGCCCAAGGGCCCAAGGGCGCTCAAGGCCGCTGCGGACAACTGTGGCGCTCTGGGGCCACCTGGGATCGCATGCCAGAGCTCGGGGCAGGGCTGCGCCAGCTACGCGCCGGCACAGGGCCAGAGTATGATCTGGCTCAACACAGGTGTGAGACTGAATCCTGTCCTCCCAGGCAGTCCTCATAAATACAATAGGATCTCGACCACGAGAAACCCTCCACAAGAAAACCAACCCTGAGACCCCAAGACTTCCGTTGATTTTGGGCATGGGAACGTCGCGCTTTCCATAGCAGAACTGTCGAAACCCGTGAAACCCAGGGCACCCTGGCGGCCAGCAGGGTGTCTCTTGGCATGGGCTTCCACTGCATGGCTCCCTTTTGGGCAGGGACTGATCGTCCCGGCATTCCTATTGGCCTACCACGAAAAATTTCTTCGAACCCAAAATGTTCTAAGAACAAAAGCCATGTTCTTAGAACGTAAACCCGATGTGGTAAAACAAGACAGCCCCAGCCAGAGATGTTCTCATAACATTTCGGCGGCGACGATAGGGGCGAATAGCCCAGGGGCGGGCATTACACGTCTTCGCCGGGGAGCCTTGTCGAAGACACAGATCATCGGCACCCCTGGATACATGTATTGCTCCACCCTGGGCTGTTCGCCCCTATCGTGGCCTCGGAATCTTTCGTGTAGACCACAAAAAATTATTAGAACATTCTGTGGTAGGCCTGTAGGCGAGCTAGGACGCTTCGCCATTGCTTGACCTCTTCAAATACTCCCAATGGGCTCCGGCGCAACCCGCCGGCCGGAACAGCCCGGGCGGGCAACACTGCGTCGACTCTCCTGCCCAAGACGGCCCCCAAGAGGGCCTGCAGGACGGCCGAGGTGGCCTCCCAGGAGGGCAGAGGGCCCGAGAAGGCCTCAAAGGCGCCCCAAGATGGGCCCAAGACGGCCCCAAAGCCTCCAGGCGGCCCTCCAGGTGGGCCCGAAGCGGGCAGCTCATTGATGCCCCATCTCGTGTTCGATGATTTACGTGTTCTCGCCGCGTCGGGCTCCCCCAAGAGAGCCACAAGGCGGGCCAAGACTGGGCCAGTATGGCCCAGAACCTGCCCAAGGCTGCCTCGATACGGCCGAAGATGCATCCAATAGGCCAGAGCGCCCGACGAGACCGCAACATGTGAGCGCTTTCTTATTCGGCGTTTCGACATTGGGCGGGAGGGAGGGGGGTCTGGCTGCGGACCTCTGCTTAATGCCCCTGTTCGCAGCAGTGCGTCCTATGGAGGAGACCCCGCCTGCTTGAAACAGGCGCCAAAAACAGCCACGATCTACTCCATGAGGGGGGTACGAGGGCCCGCGCCGATCGGCAAAACAATGCATAAGAAAACGACGATAATCTCGTTGGATGTTTCAGCGAAGATTGCGTTCTCGCTTGTTCGGGCTTCCGACACCCGAAGGCGGCTCCAGGGGCCTCCAAGATGACCCCAGTACGGCTCACGAAGCCCCAGGACGGACCACGAGACCCCGAGGACGGCGGCAAGAGAGGGCCCTGCCTGCGGCTCGAGAGACCTCCACAACGGCGCCGTCGTTGGCCCAGGACGCCACCAAAACCGAGGCGCCCGACGGGCCAAGAGAGCGGCAAGACGGCCCAGAGGCCCCGAGAGGCCCCTGGAGGTCCCCGGAGGCCTCCAGAAGCCCCCCAAAGGCCCCCAAGAGGCCCCTCAAAGGCGCCCGTGAGGCCCCTCGGAAGCCCCCACGAGGCCCCAAGAGCGCCCCAAGCGGTCATAATCATCCCTTTCCGCCGCCGCTGTCCTCATCCAAAATGTTCCCGAAAGGGTTTTCCCAACGGCTGGCGGAACACCTGCAGTGGGGCCGCTGTCGTAAGGAACCCTGAATAAGGAACGAGGCCCCTTTTTGTCCACAAGTCAACTTCCACTTCCCTCAAGAAGCCTGAGGACAACCTGGGACGAGCGGTTGAAAAATCAAGGAGCACTGAAAATCTCCCCAACGAAAAGGCTCCCTTCTTCAGCCAGAGGGTTCCAAAGAGGGTTTTCGGGGAGGGGCGTTTTCCAGAGCCCCCCAGGGGACTCGGAACCTTGTCAAAATAGTTGGTGCGAAGCCCCTGGGGAACACCTCCTGAAAAAAAACTCCCCCCAAACCCCCTTTGAAACCCTCTGGTTCAGCGGCCCGGCTGTAGTCCACCATCTTGGCCAGACTCCGGCCCAACGCTTGGCGATGTGGGCGCTCCTCAAAAAAAGCCGGGGGGGCGGCGGTGGACGACGCAGGCGTCTTCGAGATCCACCGCCCCCTTCATGCTGCGCCCGCCACGGGGGTGCATAATGTGTGCTGGACTTTCGAAGCACGCTGTGGCCCTTCCAACGTCCCTGGTGGTCTTCGGCCCCACTCGCCGGCCACCGGGAAAACGTGGAGCTTGATTGCTTTTCCACCCGAGATGGCCCCAAGACGGTCTCTAAGAGGACCCCAAGGTACCCCAAGTCGCTATGACGTCATCCCAACATGGCCAACGTAAGGTCCAAGCCGGAGAAACATGTTTCCAAGAGGACTCAAGACGGCCCCAAGAAGCCCCAAAAATGTTCAATAATGCTCCAAAGAGGTGTCCTAATAAACCTCGACATGTACAAACCATGGTCTCTCCCGCTATTATTTCCTGAACTTGTTCACGGATACACAGACGTCTCAGAGTGGCCCACAAAAGAGCTGCAAGACGGATCAAAAGAGGGCCCCAGGAGGCCCCAATAATGCCGAAAAGGTAAGATACGTACCCTAAGCCAGACCCAAGCCTCGGAGGGCCCTGTCCTAGTTTTCCCCAGGTATGTTCCCAACGGTGGGGGCAACACGCAGTGGCAGTTCATTAGCAGGGCTGGACTTTCGGTAGACATTTCAACACACAGGCAGGCGAGCCCAGAATCGAATCGATAATTTGAATCGGCGATCGAAATGAATCGGATCGGCGGAAATCGGCACCAGAGTCAGAAAAAGTCGGATCGGCAGACATCGGCAGGCCAGTATGCCTCCAATAAGAGATCGGAACCCAAATCGGAACCCCAAATCGAATCCAACCGGAATCGGAAACCGAAATCGAGTCGGATTCCCGAATCGGATCAAATCAGAATCCAGGTCGAGTCGAACCAACATCGAATCGAATCGAATCGGAGGAATCGAAGCGAGCCCTGCACGGACGTCTTCCCAAGGCAAGGGGGGGAGCGGGGGGCTCGCAGGAGGCATCTCCGATACTGCCTTGGGAAGGAAGGAAGGACATTCACGGCGGGCACATACGAAGGGGCCCAGGGACACACAAACAAATATACACAAATCCCAGGATTCCCCATCTTTTCGAATATTTGTAGGGTTTTCGTCTTCCCCCCCCCCCACGTCACATATTTTCCCATGTTTTCCTGAGGGTCGACGATTAATTGTGTCTGTGTGCTTTTCCCCTCCTGAACATAATATGTCTGGTGGTCATGTCTGGGCGCATGACTGCAACTCAAGCCGGGCCTCTCCTTGTGCTCCAGAAGTGGTGACGGCACTCCACTCCACGTGGGATACCAGAGGGCACTCAGTTCAACCAATGACGTCTCCGAGGGGGATGTGAGGGAGGAGGGCGAGGAGGGAGTGGTAGAAGAAGGGGGGAGGGACGCAGACGGGGACCTGCGGCAGCAAGAGCAGGAGGAACGACACGAGGGTGACAATGGTGATGATGATGATGATGATGATGATGATGATGGTGGTGGTGGTGGTGATGTTGGTGTTGGTGTTGGTGTTGGTGTTGGTGTTGGTGTTGGTGTTGGTGTTGGTGTTGGTGTTGGTGATGGTGATTATGATGATGATGATGATGATGATGATCCACGCATCCAAGAAGGTCTGGAGCTCCCCGCTCGATACAGCCTCCCGAGGCCATGGCCTTTCCCTCTGGCGCTGCGGACGCAAGGCCTGACCCGTGCCCAAGGCACACTCGCAGACTCGCCTGAAAGCCTTGAGGCCGCCGACCGCCCCAGCCAAAGGCAGGCGATCGGCAAACATCTGAGCCCTCACGGCGACTCAGCTCGCAGACAGCTCAGCGCGCCACATCAGAGCAACAGTCCCCTGGGCAGGCCACAGACGGGAACGACTTGCACTGAGGTGGCCTTCGGAGGCGATCCTGACGGTCGGCCGCAGCCTACCACCACGGTTCGGCCTCCGCCCGGCGCGCACAGAGCACAGAGCGGGCTGGAGCGCAGCAAGCTGCGCGGGCTGTCGCGCCCAAGGCGCGCCAGCAGCTACATTAAACGGAGGCGCCGAAGGCGCCAAGCGACATACGTTGCCCAAGAGGGCGGGAGGGAGTGAACCCTGACGTGCGCCGAGCCCCACGGGGTACAGCCTACGCCACGGGGTCCCTCCCCCCCCAGAGGCAGCGGCTCGGCGCAGGCATTCGTGATCCTTGGACCCGCCTGCGACCCGAGCTGATCGGCATGCTGGCTCGATC